TATATATAAGTAGAGCTAGGGGTTGTATAGTATGAGGTGAGATATATATACTATATATAGTAGTATACTATTATATAGATATAGCGTGCCATATAATTATATATAATAGAATATATAATATATATATATAGGCATATATATAAATATATATATATAGAAGTATATAATATATTATATACTATATATACGTATAGTATAGTAATATTAGCATGATTAAAGGGTATATATATATATATGAAGATATATATATATATAATAATATATTATGCATATATATATAATATGTATCTATATAATATATATATAATATATAATATATATATATATATATATATATAGTATATATATATATAATATTCATAATTCTCTCTCTCTCTCTTCAGTCCTCTCTCTCTCTCTCTCGTCTCTCTTCTCTTCTCTCTCTCTCTCTCTCTCTCTCTCTCTCTCTCTATATTATATATATATATATATATATATTATATATTAGTATATATATAATAATATATATATATTTAATATATATATATATATATATATAATACTATATATTTAATATGTATATATATATAATATATATATAAATATATATTAATATATATATTATATATATATATATAATATATATATATATTATATATATATATAATATATATATCCCCCCCCCCTCTCTCTCTCTCTCTTCCTCTCGTTCGCCTCTCTTGCTCTTTTTTTCTTTTGCTCTCGCTCGCACGATCGTCTCTTTCTATGTTTGCTCTCTCAAACTCTCTCGCCCTCTTTTCTTTCCCGCTCTCTTACTGTCTCTCGGTCTTTTTGCTCTTAAATGTTTTCTTGCTTTATCTCCCTCCCCCCCCCCCCCTCTCTCTCTCTGACGCTCTCGCTCTCTAACGCTCTCTCTCTCTCGCTCTTTTCTTCTCTCTCGCTTACTGCACGCTCTCCCGTCTATATAAACACTTCCCCTTCCCACCCCACCCCACCCCCCACCCCCTCTCCATCTCCCGCCCGAACCCAATGAGATTTAATGGATTCAGGCCAACACCGTTATTTCCCTTTTCTTTTTTTCTTTTTCTTTTTAAGACCCGACACAAAGCCAGTATCTGGATGGCTTTATTTAACGCTTAACCTCACATGCTCTCGTTTCGGTAAAGAACGTTGTTTGTTCTAAATCCTCGAGGACTGTGACTTACTCCGTCTTTCCTCTCGTGCAGTTGGCGAAAGGGAGTTGCGTAAGTCATTTCATAGGTTTCTTTGAGATGTTAATGATGAACAAAATTCACATTTTCCTCGTAAGAGAGAATGGAAAGGGATGGAGGGGGGGGAGGGGGAGCGAGGTAAGGTGGAAAGGAGTATATAGAAAGAAGTGAATGGGATGGAGGGGAGAGGGAGGGAGACGAGAGGGAGGAGAGAGAGGGAAGAGGGGGGGGAGAGAGAGGGAAAAAGAAGGAAAGAGAGAGAGGGAAAGAGAGGGGATGGGAGAGAGAGGGAAAGAGAGGGATGGAGAGAGAGGAAAGAGAGGGTTGAGAGAGAGGTAAAGAGAGTGAGGTGAGAGAGAGGAAGAGAAGGGGAGGGGAGAAGAGAGGGAAGAGAGGGAGGGAGAGAGGAGGGTGAAAGAGAGGGAGGGAGAGAGAGAGTGGAAAAGAGAGGGAAAGAGAAGGGGAGAGGGAAAGGGAAGAGGAGGTGGAGGAAAGAGGAGGGGAGTAAGATGCGAGGGAGGAGAGGGTAAAAGAGAAGAGACGGGGATGCGAAGGATGTGGAGAGAGGAGAGAGGATAAGGGAGGAGGAAGAGAAGGGGAGGAGGAGGGATGGAGAGGAGTTAAAGAGAGAGAGGTGAGGGAGGGGTGGTGAGTGAAGGGAGGATGAATAAAGAAGAGAGTTAGGAGTGGGTCGGAGGAAGGAGGAGGATGTTAAAAGGGGGCGTGGGAGGGAGAGGGGGGGTGGAAGAGGTAGCGGATAAGAGAAGAGTGAAGGAGGGGAGGAGAAGAAGGGAAGAGAGTGAGGATGAGGAGGTTTTGAGGGAAGTGGAGGGAGGAGAGTCGAAAGAGGGGGCGGGGTGAGGGTAGCAGAGGGAAGAAGGGATGAAAAAAGAGGTAGAGAGGTGGAGGTGTATAAGAGTAGGAGAGGAAGAGAAGAGAGGAGAAAGGAGAATGTGTAAGAGGGGAGGGAGGGAGAGGGAGGAGAGAGGGAGGGGAAAGAGGAGATGGTGAGGGCGGGAGAGGAGGAGGGAGGGAGAGAGGGGAGAGAGAGAGGAGAGAGGAGGAGAGAGAGAGAGAGAGAGAGAGGAGACGGAGGAGAGAGATGAGGAGAGGAGAGAGAGAGAGAGGTGAGAGAAGAGAGAGAGGGAAGGAATGGAGGGGAGAAGATGAGAGAGAGAGAGAGATAGAGAGAGCAGAGAGAGAAGAGAGAGAAGGCAGAGGTGTAGAGAGAGGGAAGGAGAGAGAGGAAGAGAGAGAGAGGGCGGGGGAGTGAGGCAGAGGGGGAGGGTGAGAGAGAAAGTGGAGGTGAGGTGAGTGAATGAAGTTAGCGGAGTGTGTGTGTAGGGTGTTGGTATGTAAGAGAGTAAAATAGAGAGTTAGACAGACAGAGAGAGAGAGAGAGAGAAGAGAGAAGAAAGAGAGAGAGAGAGAGAGAGAGAGAAGAGAGAGAGAGAGACGAGAGAGAGAGAGAGAGAGAGAGATGAGAGAGAGAGAAGAAGAAAGAGAGAGAGAGAGGAAGGTGAGAGAGTGATGAGTGAGTGAGTAAAATGAGTTAGCGATGTGTGTGTAATCGTAAGAATAAATAGAGGTAGATAGACAGACAGACAGAAAGAGAGAGAGAGAGGAGAGAGACGAGAGAGAGAAGAAAGGAGAGGAGAGAGAGAGGAGAGAGAGAGAGAGAGAGAGAGAGAGAGAGAGAGAGAGGAGAGAGCAGGAGAGAGATGAGAAGCGAAGGAGAAAGGACAGAGAGGGAACGGGAGAAAAGATCGTAAAAAAAGAGAAGGATTGCGAAGGGAAGTACGAAAAGAAGAAGAGTGAAAAAAGACAGAAACAGGACAGACTAACAGATCAGGTAGAGATTCAATACAACTAAAAATAACAAAGCACCTATTTTCTTATACTGGTTCGTATGTCCTTCAGGGAAGAAGAAAGCTGTCCCCTTTTCAGCATTACGACAAGACGCGACGGGAGGGCAGTAGGGTGGGGCGATTTGAGTGGAGCAAGGAACGAGCAAGAGGGTACTACGGAGACGAGGCAAACATTTGCTTGATGATAAAATTCATAATGAGAGAGACACGCGGGGAGAGGACGCAGAGGGTGGGCGTAAGGTAGACCCTCAGGGACGAATCGGCGTAGGGGCTCTTCCTTGTCATTTATGTTTGTTGGATTCAAGAAGGCATCAAAAACAATATTCACGTCGCTTCTGGGTCACATGCACGGTGGGCACACAGGGACGACTAGGTGTGAAAAGTACTTGGGGCAACGTGCGGCATGCAATGATTATATGAAAGTGATAGGGTGATGATGATAATTGAATGGTGATGTGATGAGAGTAAATAATAAGATGAGTAAAAAAAAAATTGAAAATCAAACTAAGAATAAACAAGAATGGCGATTAAGGATAGTGTGGGATGTAGAAGATAATAATAATAATATATATAATAATAATAATTATAATAATAAAAGATAATAACAATATGTAAGTAGTAAAATAATATAACAACAAAACAAGCGGAAAGGTGAGTGATAATAAATAAGTATAAGGTTAGATAAATAAGTAGTATAAAGAGAATGAATAAGGAGTGGATAGTAAATAATAGAAATGAAGGTAATTAAGAGTAAGTAAACGTAAAAGTTTTAGAGTAAATAGATATAAGAGGTGGGAATGAGTATGAGAGAAGAGAGGAAACAAATTAAGGAAAATAAATAGAGGCGTCTTTTTCCGATTAAATAGAAGCTACTTTCCAGTGGTTTCAAAAGGATAAAGAGTATTATTCAGTGGTATAAAGCTCAAAGAGAACCAAATTTCAGTGCATAAACTTACAGAACAAGAGACTGTGAAAGATATCATACAACATCCATTCTGTCGAGAGCATGAACATGAGAAAATACTTAGAGGAATAGGTTAAAGAATGATAAAGAAATAAAGCACAGTTGGAAACAAGAAAAGGAGGCGGGGAAAAGGGGAAAAGAAAGAGGAAAGAAGGAAAACGATGGAAAGGAGAAGAAGAGAAGAGAGGAGAGAGAGAGGAAAGAGAAGGAAAGAGGAATGTGAAGAAAAAGAGAAGATGAGAAGAGAGAGATAGAAGAGATGAGAAGGAGGAGAAGGAGGGAATAGGAGAGAGATTGTTGCCAGAGAGGAAAGAGAGAGAGAGAGAGGATTAAAGAAATAAAGGGAGAGGGAAAGGAGGCGAAGGAGAAAAAAGTCAGAGGTAGGAATTATAGAGATTAAGAAATGATCAAGAAATGGAAAACCAATATAGTTTTGAGAGATGAAGAAGCAGGAGAAAACAACGTTTAAGATATTAAAAGAACTCGCAAAGAGAGAAGAGGAGGACAAAAGAAATGATATTAAGAGGAAGAAATGGCAAACAAAGACACAAAATAAACTGATAATAATAGGATAAGAAATAAAAACAAGGCCAAGAGAACGAGAAAAGTTACGAAGGGTTAGGGCGTAAGAGGACCACCGAAGGGATAAGGGGAAGCAAAAAGACAAACAAGGGTAATTCAGTGAAAGTTCTGGACTTACGGAATGGCATAGATTCAAATCACAGAACAAATAATACAAGAAGAGAGGAGAAAATTATTGGTACGGCCAGACGGACAGCTCAACACCGAGTGGCAATTATTAGGAGACAAGATATGTAATGGGAAGAGACACACAGAGGAGCGCGGGCCGATTGCTAATTCCTTTCTTGTATGTGCGTTTTTTGGGTGTCAACCACAGCAGAGAAGCGTCCCGTAGTCCAGTTCCGTCATAGGGCGGCGTTCATTTAAATGATGCTGAAAGTGGAGGCCGTGGTGAACAGCCCCGGAGGCACGTCGATCGTGTCGGCCGTGTTGTTGAAGGTCCACTTGAAGCCCTGAGCCTCAGGATTGGCCGCTACACGACACGTCACTTCGGCGTCTTCGAGCCTCGCCACGCCGTAAGTTGTGATCTGGCCTGGCGCGCACACAGGGGCGTCTGCAGGAGGGAACAACGAAGAGGTAGTTATTTTTTTTTTTTTTTTTTTTTTTTTTTTTTGAAGAAAGTATATCATTAGGAGAAACATCCAAGGTAGGTCACACAGTAAATGTGAGAGAGGAGGGGCGAGGCTTCAACAAATGAGTTTCAGCTTTCAAACTAAAATGTGCAAACTGTAAAATTAAATGCAATTCAGATCCTCTTTTATGTGACAACCTTATCGTATCCTGTTTTACAACGCAAGCTTTCCTCTTATATCTTCTTTTACACAAATGCCCCCGCCATCGCGAGTTCATACTCACACTTGATATCCAGCTTGATGAGATTTGAAATGCCATCTCCTTCGATATTGGAAGCTGTGCATGAATAGTCCCCAGCGTGCCGACGGGTGACTCTCTGAAGGACGAGACTCTGGTTGCTCACGATGATCCCCGAAGTGATGTTGTGTTGCAAGGGACGTCCCTGCAAGAGCGCGTGTTAGGGAAAGCGTCTGCGTTAAAGGTCGGATGTCAGAATGCGGTGAAATCGAATCCTTTTCAACTCCTGTGATGCTATCAAAACTTTGCTCCCTTATTTCTACACAAAAGTCGCACGACAGATGTTATGCGAAAAGTTCGACAATAATTCCCCTTGTTGTTCTGCCAATAAATGCCGGAAGTACTTAAGCAAAGAACGAAAAATCTATCATATAATCTATCTTTATGAATGCATGTTTTCGGTTT